ACGCTTCCTTCGCCTAGTGTGTGAGCTTTGAGCCTTTATTCGACCACTTGACGGCCCCTTGAGAGGAGACAAATCTGGTTCCTCTCTATCAAGCTTGGCAAAACCTTCGATGAAGTTGCCAAGATTGTCAGATATTCCTTTACATAGATCATGCACCATGCTTGCTAGCTTGAACTTCTTCTGCATAACATTAGAAAAAGGAAAATTTTAAATTTAAAAAGGAAAAATGGAGACAAAATAGTTTTGGTGCAAGTCAAGCATATCTGTTTGCAACTGCAAACCTAAGTTTGGTGCAAGTATATCAAAGTAGTGTGCAACTGAGATAATGAAAGTGTGCAACTGAAAAGGGGTAAGTTTGCTGGAAGTAAAAAAACATAGTTTGTAACTAAGTTGTGAACTCTGTGTAAGTGAAAGCACAAGTTTGATTCAAGTAGAAAAAAGGTGACTGCTGCAACTAAAGTGTAACTTTGGTACAGGTAAACAATAGCCATGTTGCAACTGACATAATAACTCTGTGCAACTGATGCATGCATTGGGCGCGAAAAAGTAAACAACAAAGGATGATTAGTACACCAAACACATAAGAGAATAAAAAAATGAAGATTTTTGGTCTAGGAAAAAAAGTGGGTCAGCAAAAAGGATAACTCGCGTGGGGATTGTAACTCAATGGAACCTTTGACGCCACAAACTCTTCTGCCTGCAGCAATCCTCCGAAGAGTGATGAATACTCTTTGCTTCTATACTGCTCCTTGAGCTGTTGCACAAAAAGAAAGATCATTAACAACAAAAACAAAGTTATTGTGTGGATCTATAAAGAAAAAAGCGCACATGTGAGCAACTACCACATGCCCCCAGAAGCAAAAAAACTGACTAAAATTACTATGTGAAGTCCAAATGAAAGTGGTACTGTAAACAAAAAATATGAAACAAAGTAGGTGTGCAACTGTCATAAGTCTGTGTGCCAACTATGAACATAGACTTGTGCAACTACCTACAGATACGTGAGCAACTACCACATGCTCTCAAAAGCAAAAAAATAGACTAAAATTACTATGTGAAGTCCAAATGAAAGTGGTACTGTAATATAAAATATGAAACAAGAATGTGTGCAACTATCTTAAGTCTGTGTGCCAACTATCAATACAGACTTGTGCAACTACTTACAGATATGTGAAAAAAATGTGCAATTACAGAAAAAGTATAATGTATACAGAAAACCTAGACATAAAACATATCATATTATACAAAAAATTACACCAAGAAAAAACAAGAAGGTATCATTTGACTTTGAGCAGAATGTCCAACTCACTTGAAGTTTCCCAAAGACGCCAGGCGAAATCAAATTCTTTTTCATTATCTTGCTGATTATATTCTTATCATAGGCATTGGCTTTTCTACTCGCACATCAACATCAAGTGCATCAATGTAAAGAATCTGTACACGCACCATCCCTAAGAGACAAACAAAAGGGGAAAACAAACATATGAGAACATTGGTGATAAAGTACAAAACCTATAGAAAAGTACGTCTAGCAGATACAAAACTTAATTACAGCTCACCATCAAATGATACAGGCAGCAGCAAACTATTTGCTAGTACTCACCCATGTTGCGGAATGCTTTGTTTATGTGCTCAGCAACAAATAAGTTGACATTGCTCTTCAACAGAACATCAGGTTCTAGCACAACACCGTAGCAACGTGGGCTTAGAGAAAGACTAGTGGTAGGAGCTAAAAAGGTGCCGAAAGCAATTGCAAGCCAACCAGTAAGGAACTTGTCATCAGTTCTTCCCTTCATAGCTTTCATCGTCTTGCTAAATTCGGTAACCGTGGGGTGTTTGGATGGCTCGGTGTGGTTGAACATCTGATTGAAACTCTTCATAGCCTCCTTTTCAACAATGTATTTCAAACGCGGCCCTCTATTGGGTAAACCAAAGTTCCTATGCACACTAGCACCATCTACTGGAATAGTTCCCCTGCCTGGAAATACCAAGGCTGAACTGCCTAGGTCGTACGACTGGACTAGGAACTTCGTCAAATCAGAAGGCAGTGTGTCGGCTAAGTTTACCAAACCTCCTAACATCTTCTCATACAGGAAAGATCTTTGAACAGGTGTTAGTTCCTTGTTGACCTTCACAAACCTTCATGGTGAGGCCATAATCCTTCCAGCTTGTGAACGTCGCCGAGGAACGTTTCCTTCGTTCCCTTCAACTCCAACTTCACCCACCCGAGATAAAAAAAGGGAACTGAATACAAATAAATTGTGCAACTAGTGTACATATGTCTGCAACTGATCATACATAATAAACCGAAATATTTTCACATAGTTGATTGTTGTGCAATCATAAGTTGATTGTTGGGCAACCATATGTTGATTTTTGTGCAACTATTATCCCTTATTGTGCAACTGACATGTTCACACTCTAAAATTAAAAAACTTGTCCAAAATGTATACATGTTTGGGTGCAGCTGTGTGTTGAATGGGTTCCAACTTTCAAATTTGACAAGATAGGTAAGAAGATTAGAAAATCTATCTTAAAACAGTTATGCACACATATGACGCACAAACTGCCAAGTGTATACTTTTCATGTGCAACACTAAACAACAGAGGTGCCAACTGATACCAACATACTATGTAACTGAAAAAATGTACTCAAAATAGCTACCTCAGCAGCTTCTGCAGAGGTTGGGTCACCCCCTTCAGAGGACTTGTCTTTTCCTTTTGTTCTAGCTCGCTTTGCAGCACGGGATGCATTAGCATCCTCCACCTACAAAAAACAATGATGCCTCATGTTAAAAAATCATGAAAAAAGAGAAAACAAAAAATAAATATTGAATTTCTTTTACATATACTAAAAATTGTACATTGCGTATTCAAAATGTACAGTAATAAAAAAGAAAATGTTAAAGTCTCCGCTAAAAACTTACCCCTACTTCCTCACCATCATCGGGGACAACACGAGTACGAACACCCCGCTCAGCAGCCCTTTTCCTGTTCCGCCGTGTATCCTTTGATACAATCCTCTGCATGAGTCGAAAGAACAAAAACCAAAAATCAAAAACAAAGGAAAAAAAGAGATAAGAAAACAACACCTATATTCGATCATATTTGCTCTCTTTGAGCTTAAGAAAACAACCTCTTCCCCACTTCCACCGACATCTCCCTCTTCAACCATTGTCGCTGCAAAAAAACAGGTCCCAAAATAATCATTCTAATTGCACACTCAGAAAATCGTAGTTAAAACACTAACAAAAACTTGATAAACAATGCATAAAAAACCAGGACCCCTCCACTAGGACAATTGAAAAATCCCGTGGCAACTGGACCTTGGATTTGCCAACTGGACCCTGGTTCTGCCAACTAGGATATGGTAATGCCAAGTGAAAAATGCAAGGAACACATATCCCAGCTGTGTGCAACTGTTGAACCTAGATCTGCCAGTTGGGAACTGGTCCAATGGCAAGTATTAAAACCCACAGAACAATGGGGCAATGGAAACATTCCATGTGCAACTGCCAACTGCAAACAACTCGTTGTGCAAGTGGGCAATGGAAACATTCCCTGTGCAACTATTATTTGTGCAACTGCCAACTGCAAACACCTCGTTGTGCAAGTGGGAATGAAAATAATACAATAAATAGACAGAAATCGAAGGGATTCAATGACCATGGTGAAGGACGCTGAAATATCTACCAACTAAAATGCAACAATACCTAGGGTTTCGATCACTTATGCAAAGACACAGTGGATCTGCTATCGGCGTGGCCTCCCCCGCTACAGGCACAGCGAGCGCGTCTAGCAGGCGCGGCCTCCCCCGCTACAGGCACGGCGAGAGCGCTGCGGTCATGGCCTCTGCGGCTACGGGCGCGGCGACAGCACAACGGCGCGTGGCGCGGCGGGGGCACTACGAGCACGGCCTCCCCCACCATGGGCGCGACGAGAGCGCTACGGGCGTGGCCTCTCCTGCTACGAGTGCGGCGGGAGCACTACGGCTGCGACCTTCCTCTGTACGGGCGCGGCGAGAACGAGCGAGCGGATGAGCAGCGAGCGTACCTGAGCCGACGACGAGCAGCGGGTGCTTCCCCCTGCTACGCCTCCGCCTCATGTGCACCTTTCAATGACGTTCAACGGCAGATCCGGCTGCGAGCCCTACAAATCGGGAGGGGAGGGGAGGGGAGAGGGGAATGAAATGAGGTGAGCGATGACGGGTGCTGAAGGGGGGAGGAAGTGACACGAAATTCGAAACCGCCCACCGCCCCCACTACTAGTCTACGCTCACTAACGGGCATACCTACACAGTCTATGCCATCTCAGGCCCACCGGGGGTGTGCGTGCCGCGCGCCTCGGCACTACCGGCCCAGGTGTGCGGGAGATGCGGGCGAGCGCGGGGAGGGGGGGCAGGTAACACCTGGCGGGCGCGGCCGTGCGATGGGAGCCGATCGAACGGTTCTTGAGCGGCCGCTCGAGACGAGACACGAGCGCACGCGCACTAATGTGTATTTCCGTTTTATATTTACTTTCGCTTTGTAGTGCTATCGAACTATGCGGTTTCGCTAATGAAACCGGGGAGAGGTCCAACACATGGATACAAACGGCCATCCAAGAAATACAACACACGCATGATATGCATCTTGCACAACACAACACAGACACATCACATCACATGAGTTGGCCAGCCAGGCCTGCTATTTTTGTATAGTCAACCGGCCACCCCTCACCCTCAAAGCCTCAATCATCCCCCTCCCCTACACACGGGCAATCCACGCCGCGGATTGGGAAACGGTGACCGACGACCCCATCCGGCCATCTTATTAGTAGCACCTACGGCACAAGGCAACAACGCACGCCTCTCCCAGCGCCCAAACACTCCGCTCGGCTGCTAGCTGCGCGTCCATACAAACGCAGTTACGCGCACAAGTACAGAACCGCCCCCTCCTCTTCCGGGAGGCCGGCCGGCCGGCCAGCCCGCTCCTCCCCTCCCATCCACCTCTGTCCTTAGCATGGTGAGGGACACCGGCGGCGCCCTGCAGCTGCTGGCGGTGCTTCTCCTCGTCCTGGCGTCCGAGCTCGCCACCTTCAGCTGCGGCCACAGGATCCCCAGGGCGGACGTCGCCGCCTGGAAGCGCGGGGCGACGCCGACGGGACGCACGGCGTCCACCACGACGACGACGACGGCCACTCGTGCCGGCGGCGCGGCGGCGGCGGCGCTCGGCGACTCCAAGAGGCTGGTGCCGCAGGGGCCGAACCCGCTGCACAACTAGCGCCGCGCAGGTTCTTCCTCGCTCCCATTTTTCTCGCGCGGAAGAACGCCGGCTATCTAGCGAGCGACTGAGTAGTGTGTGGACGATACAATCACATATGCAGTGATGTAACTGTAATTAGCTAGCCCATTAGATCGAGCTCCGGAGATTGCATCCAAAGAAATAGTGTAAATTACATGTACGATGTATCTTCTTCTTCCTCCATGATTTTCACTACTTCTTTGGAGCAAAGATCTGAAACAGCAGGACAATTATTGATTGACTGATTGATTGATTGGGAGCTTGCTGCAGCCCTGTCCCTGCGAGAGCTTGGAGCGGTCAATGGCTGTCCTCAGTGTTTAATTTCGGAGGGCGTTTAGGGTCATTTCGCGTTGGCCAAGGCGTGGCAAGCGGACAAGGGCGCCACGACAAGCGGGTGCTTTGTCACGCCATGGCTAAAATATGATTGATCCTCACTAGCCTTTTTGTTTGCTTATGGGCGTGATCTCATCAGTACACATTTGTTGTTATCTTTACCCCCTCACATGGCGAGAAAAGTAGGAGATTAAAAACTGTTGGTAGGTTACGTTGGTCTTTTGATTCGGTAGGAGATAGGCAGGAAAGGATTGGCCGTGTAGTCCGGCTGGAAGGTCAAACAACAGCCGGTCTAGACCGGCAGTCAGTTTGAGTCAGTGCAAATTTAAGCCATAATCTACGATCATCACCAGGAAAAACATGTCAGGAGAACATGCATGTATCATGCCATCACGGTGCTGATTTCCGCAGACTCTGTTTTTTCAGGAACAGATGGGCGATCTGTTATTTTTTAACCGAGCTAAGTCTCCTTTCTATTACTTTTGACATACAAAGATTCAATCCCCGCAAAAGAAACATACGAAGATTCAGAGGACGATAAAAAAAGGAAAATCAAGTCATGCATGTTTATCATGGGCTGAAAACCTGTTATCACATAAACATGTCAAAAAGTTTCTTACACGACGGACAAGATAGTAAACATAAGGATATGTCTAGGGCACATCTAGATATGCCATAGTCATTGCACATCTAAGTGATTCAATGAAACTAAACGAAAAAGAAAAAAGACAAGAGAAAATAAACACACCTAGTACATCTCTAGGGCGGAAGCCGATTTTTGGCTCTTAGGTGCGCAACACCCCTATATCTCTACCGAATGTTATTCTCTCTAGATCTATATATTAAATGTATTGATGAAAAATACCAACAAATAAATGGGCTATACATTGTAATGACTCCTTTAAATGCCTTTTATTGAGTGCAAGGGAGTTACTCCTCTGAACACATAGAGCATGCTTGGATACGTTTTAGTCCCATGACTAAAAGTAGTGGGACTAAAACTTGCTAGTCTCACCCATGTTTGGATCCAAATACTAAAGAGACTAAAATCTAGTTATTGAGCATTTATTATCCTCCAAACCCTCCAATCCAGAACTAAGGAGAGGAATTAAATGAGGAGAGAGAGAGCTAATACATATTTTAGTAGGTTTCCCATGACTAAAAGATTTTAGCCTCAAGACTAGTCCTAGTCTCTTTCTAGTCAGGGGTGCTTGGAACTTTAGCCTCTAAAAGAGACTATTTTTAGTCAGACTAAAAATAGTCCCTTGTATCCAAGCACCCTCATAGCACTGTTGAATTTTTGGTGTGCAGCGTATTGAATTGTGAGGTCAACCTTGATGGCTCGATCAATACAAGTACATGATGCATTGGTGCTCCCAGTGCAGTGATTACTTAGTAGAACAACAACACTTAGCTTTGCTAACAAACTAGTACAAATGCTAACTGCCTTCTAACAAAATCCTAGAATCCGTATCATGAAATTCTCAGTTTTTTTACTTGAGAAACAAAAGCTAAAGTCATCATCATGAAATTTGTCAAAATGAGGATCGTCGAATTCTCATTTTAAACTTTTATTTTTAATTTAATCCAGGAACTTTAGTAAATGATTTCTTTCAAAAAATCATGGAACTAGTATCACGCCATTCTTAGTTCTCTTAGAAGACATAATTCAAAGAATTGGTATCTTGAAATTTCTAGGAATTAATGTCTTGAAATGTTAGAAATGTTAACATCCATTAATGATAATTGGAGAGGGTCTTCCCCAAAACAGGCGACCTTGGATTTTAAGAATTACAATATTATAACATTCTTAGTTCTCTTAGAAGACATAATTCAAAGAATTGGCATCTTGAAATTTCTAGGAATTAGTATCTTGAAATGCTAGAAATGTTAACATCCATTAATGATAATTCGAGAGGGTCTTCCCAAAAACATGCGATGTTGGACTTTTTAGAATTATAATATATTGATTGCACATTTCCGTGCATTTGTTCAGTAGTCTGTCTTTTCAGTTATTTTAGACAATTTTTTTGAGTAGCCACTTTATTAGTTACGTTTACTTAGTGATTATGTACTGTGATGCTGATGTTGAGGCTTCAACCTGTGAAGAATGTATGTGCATTTGACGATGCCATTAGGCTTCTGGATTAGCGCACAAATGGCATATTCCATCATGCTTGTAAGAAGATTTAATGTTCTAATTTAAGTTTGAAACTTAAGTAATTTTCTTTGTAATATGAGCATGTATGATGTATGCAAGTTTAAGCTCAAAACTTCTATTGAGAACATGGAACCTATGAATTTCTACTTTTAAGTTTGAGTTTAGGTTAGTAACTTGAGTTAAAAAATATTGGAATCTTTGAACTACGTAGGTTGAATCCATGAACAAACTAGTCTTATTAACCGAAACTTATTATATGTGCAGTGTGATTAAAATCTAAAGTGGAAAATTCTTCCACATGCTAGTGTGATCCTAATTGGTTGTCACATGGCCCAGGTTACACATATCAGCTTGCATTTATTGCAGAATTTGGAAACCATTGGAAATTAATATACATCACGAGTACATCTGAAAAATATAACTAGGCCTGGATCCCTAGGTGCATGGCTGGGTCAGATTCAAGGGATGTATCACTTGGGTGCTCCTATGAAATTAACCACATTAGCACCACAAATCTAACATGCAATGACAGCAAGACCAGTGAGTGGGGAAGAATTAGTTTGATGTACCAACCCTAGTGTCTCTAGCAACATCACGTTCACAACCTTGCTTCGAAGTATCCCAACCTATTTCTTCAGCGCATCCAGATCTCTAGTTTTTTTTATGATCTATCGAGGATAACAGGAAGTGCATGTCATAGAAATGATCTTTAAAAGGACTTTCAAACATATTATTCTCAAAAGTGACTCTATTGCAAAAATTCCATATAGCCCATATATATAACAACCGCGAAACAATAGTAAAGAACTTCTCTCCATCAGGACAAAAAGAATAGCACCAAGGAAATATTACCAGATATTGTTAGGGAAAATATCAGTACCAAAGACCTAGTGCATTGTTCTCCACACCACCCTTGCCACAAGGCACGGGAAAACTATGTGTTGAGAGGACTCAACCTGATCAGAAAAGGAGCAACTAGAGTTGTTAATTAATTTTTCTTTTTCATTGCCTCTCTTGTTAACACAACATGTTGAAACAACTGGAATAGGAAGATTAGTTTTCTAGTGGTAATTTTGCATCCCCAAGCCCATTTGTGATTTCAACCTGCTAAGGAGGTTTCCCACCATTGTACATCGATTTAGTGGTAAATAACATATCATTTTCTCCTTGGACTAGTATTTCTCATTAGGGTCATCAAAAATATTAAGACTAGCAAAATAAGCAAGGAAAGATTCACACTGATCCATAAGGTCGGGAGATGGCCTTCTCCTGAAAAGTAGTCATATATACTCCGTGGAGCACTGGAGCATTTCAATCGTAAAATCATGTGCATTACAAATATCAAAAGATTGTGGGAATTGCTCACAAAGGGGAGATTGTTTGTTAAGAGAATATTTCCACAATCTAGTAATATTACCAAATCTTGGCTTAATTTTTGGACCAATATGTAAAGGTCTTTCACTTTAAGAATGGCCTCCCAACAAGGAGAATAAAATAACTTATGTTTGTCATACGCCATAGTTTGATTATTGAGGTATTTGGCTTTAATGATCACCTGCCAGAGCCCAACCCATATTAGTGTTCAACCTCCACACACTACTACAGAGTCTGAACAAAACTGACCGGTCAAATCATACCATCACTGACTGGCCTAAGGTCCTTAACTCGCTGGTCGATTTCCTTTTTGGATCTACATATTCTAGACTACTTAATAAGGTAATACCATTTTTCCATATTACGACACTGCCAAAATAGTATGCCTTTATGTGTATCAAGTCTCTCAATAAAAGTTTTGTTCAATGTGAGCATGGACATATGATAGGAAGAATTATTGGTCAATTAGCATTCCTCAGGATAGTTCTTTCTCCAATGAAAATAGCATACCCTCTCCAAGAATCAAACTTATTCAAGTATTTAGCCTAAGGTAGTACTGTAGGGTAACGTAGTAATTTCAGAAATTTTCCTACGCACACACAAGATCTATCATGGTGATGCATAGCAACAAGAGGGGAAGATTGTTGTCCACGTACCCTCGTAGACCGTAAGTGGAAGCATTATGACAACGCGGTTGATGTAGTCGTACGTCTTCACGATCCGACCGATCCTAGTACCGAAAGTACGGCACCTACGCAATCTGCACACGTTCGGCTCGGTGACGTCCCACGAACTCTCGATCCAGCTGAGTGTCGAGGGAGAGCTTCGTCAGCACGACGGCGTGATGATGGTGATGATGAAGCTACCGGCGCAGGGCTTTGCCTAAGCACTACGACGATATGATCGAGGAGGATTATGATGGAGGGAGGGCACCGCACATCGCTGGAAACAATCAACTTGTGTGTTCTAGGGTGCCCCCTGTCCCCATATATAAAGGATCAAGGGGGGAGGCCGGCCGGCCCTACGGCGCGCCACGGAGGGGAGGAGTCCTCCTCCTAGTAGGAGTAGGACTCCCCCTTTCCTAGTCCAACTAGGAGGGGAAGGGGAAGGAAGGAAGGGAGAGGAAGAGGAGAAGGAAAGGGGGCGCGCGCCCCCCTCCCTAGTCCAATTCGGACTCCCTATAGGGAGGGGCGCGGCTGCCCCTTGTGGGCTGGCTCCCCTCTTCCCTATGGCCCATGAAGGCCCAACTTTCCCCGCGGGGGTTCCGGTAACCCTCCGACACTCCGGTTTTCTCCGAAATCATCCGGAACACTTACGGTGTCCGAATATAGCCGTCCAATATATCAATATTTATGTCTTGGCCATTTCGAGACTCCTCGTCGTCTTCGTGATCATATCCGGGACTTCGAACTACCTTCGGTACATCAAAACACATAAACTCATAATACCGATCGTCATCGAACGTTAAGCGTGCAGACCCTACGGGTTCGAGAACTATGTAGACATGACCAAGACACATCTCCGGTCAATAACCAATAGCGGAACCTGGATGTTCATATTGGCTCCCACATATTCTACGAAGATCTTTATCGGTCAAACCGTATAACAACATACGTTGTTCCGTTTGTCATCGGTATGTTACTTTCCCGAGATTCGATCGTCGGTATCTCAATACCTAGTTCAATCTCGTTACCGGCAAGTCTCTTTACTCGTTCCGTAATGCAACATCCCGTAACTAACTCATTAGTCACATTGCTTGCAAGGCTTATAGTGACGTGCATTACTGAGAGGGCCCAGAGATACCTCTCCGATACACAGAGTGACAAATCCTAATCTCGATCTATGCCAACTCAACAAACACCATTGGAGACACCTGTAGAGCATATTTATAGTCACCCAGTTACGTTGTGACGTTTGATAGCACACTAAGTGTTCCTCGGTATTCAGGAGTTGCATAATCTCGGTCATAGGAACATGTATAAGTCATGAAGAAAGCAATAGCAATAAACTAAACGATCATAGTGCTAAGCTAACGGATGGGTCAAGTCAATCACATCATTCTCTAATGACGTGATCTCGTTCATCAAATGAAAACTCTTGTCCATGGCTAGGAAACTTAACCATCTTTGATTAACGAGCTAGTCAAGTAGAGGCATACTAATGACACTCAGTTTGTCTATGTATTCACACATGTACTAAGTTTCCGGTTAATACAATTCTAGCATGAATAATAAACATTTATCATGATATAAGGAAATAAATAATAACTTCATTATTGCCTCTAGGGCATATTTCCTTCAAGTACATGCCCACATTTTTTAGAGAGGAAAACCTGATAGCAACTATCAAATATCTCATAGGAAATTGACCAATTTGACAAGATTAGCATATAAGTTCGCAATGTCATTGTCTCCTCCAGCACAAAAACTTTCACTTTGGAAGTTGATTTATAAAAACTAGATATAAGCTCAAATGAATAAAGGAGAACTTTAGGGTTTAGAGCCTTATCAAGGTCACAATCAATACAAATAGTTGTATCATCAATGTATTAAATTACAACCACTGTTTTATCAATAAGGTCAGCAATCAACAACTAGCATATCATTCCTTTGGGAATTTTTAACAATTTTAGTATGGCACTCACCTGTCAGATTACAGGGGGTAGATGGTCCACCTACCTCACACTTTTGGCACTTTCATAAGGGCTTGTGGTGTTGTTCAGTTTAACAATAACAATTCCATTGTAAATGATACTCTTAATCCAGCTACATCAAATAGGGTTTAAAGACTCTGATTTATGGCATTCCAATAAAAATCCTAGTTAACATTGTTGTGAACCTTTTCAAAATCAAATTTCAAGATAATACCACCATGCTTTTAATACAAGTGGGGATGTGAAATCTCATGTAAATATAGAATATGATCTTAAATGCAAGGTAACAATGAGAAGAAAATGCTAGAACCCTAGAGTTGATAGTGAGAGGGGCCACAAGTGCATCGTCTTTGGGATCCAGTTAGGCCAAAATCCTGCCACTACATTCTCTCAGGAACTATCATCGCAATTTTAATGTTGGGTAGCAATATTTAGGTAGATTCTGCAATTTCTTTCCTTCCAAAATACCCACATAATGTATACAATCAAGCAAATAGTTGCTTTTCACTCTTCCTTCAGGAGGCCGACAACCTTTTTTCTTTTAAACGATGAGTTGATGTTGTTCTTATTTGTTGGCAAAATCGAGATCATGGCTTGGCTTGCAAAAAACATACCTATAGAAGAACAAACATCTTAATGGTAGTCATTGGACAAATGTGGAGCCGTTTGCGGGTAAATATGCGGAGCTTACAAATGGGACTAATGAGAACAACTACATGCGCGCATAACCTCCTAAGAGGATCTTGAGCCAAGAGAAGAATTGCATTTTTGGTTCTGTTTGGATGGTCCAAATTTTGCTAGCGAGGAAAGGAGGAGCTGCTTCTCGAGATTCTATATGGTATGCCAACCGTGTATGAACCATAGGATGACCATGACATCTAGCAAAGTGGAAAGCAGAATGTCACGTAATCCCAACCAAAGGTCACATAACTACATAAGTCAGCGATGTGCCATAAAGTGTACATGTTTGGAGAGATCAAATCTAACTTTGACTTGCCAACTCTTTCTCCACCGAGACCAAACAGTTCTTGCTGTTAGAGAAGGATTAGGGGTTCAACCATCCAAGCATCCATCGATCCTGCCAAAAGACGTATTTGGATCTGTTACCCATCGTGATGGTGATGGAGGTTCACGACATGTGCATGCCCCTTCTTTGAGAAGTCATCATCGTGCCACACCATAGTTAGGACCGGTGAAGGTGTATCTATGGCCCTCCAGTGGGTTTTAATGATGAATGACAAAATTTTAATGGACCAATGTGTTACTAAATGTAAACATGTGTATAGTTCCAAAAGCAATAAAGAGGGGTTAGGATATCAACGATGGATGAATCTTGTTGTTTCTCAAATAGAATCCAATTGAGATTAAAACCAACGGCACAAAATCGATACTATCGAGGTTTGAAGTGTGATTCATGCCGCACAACAAAACTTTTTCATGGAGCTACTGTACACAAAACCCGACAAAGGAAGCAGTCAACAAACCCAGATCCAGAATACAAACTCGGCAATACCAAACCAAAACCTGCAGTGTTGACAGAGCGATGGACTTAGCAGCTAAGAAGAGAAAGGCTTCCCAGAGGCAACAACATGAGAACCCGGTAGTTCCAACTTCCGAAGCACAACAACTACATCAACCCCAAACTACTAGGTTCTCTAAATCCTGTCACTGAGGTCATTTTCATAGTAGCACCAGTTTTAAACCGTTAGTACCACTATTGAAGCTCTACTAGGTTGAAGCTTGGTCAGTGAAACCACGACCACTAGAGGCGAAAAGCATGATTAAACTTGTAAAATTCAAGAATGTTAGGGTACCCCTAACTCTTTCCCCCGGTGGAAGTGTCACCATATCTTGTCTATTCTTTTTAGTTCCCACTTCGACATTCAAAAGATAGAAAATTGGTAGGTCACCATGGACAACAGGGTTGTTATAAGAGGATTTCATCCTCACATGTAGGCTAGATTGAATATCTACAACAAAGGAAGCACCATCGACAAAAGAAAGGAGAAAATGTACTCTTTCCAAAAAGGAAGAAAACAAGCGAGTGCCTTTGGCCTTTGCATCAATTGATGCACACAACCTTCTCTATTAAGAAATGGGGCCATCACCATTGCAAATCAATTTAGTGACATTAAAGAGGGCTCATACTTCATACAAGTGGGGAACACTGTTATTACAAATTTGAATACTAGAAAACGATACCAATCAATAAGGAGATTTGTAGCTTATCCATAATTGATGGAATCAATGATAAATACAGTCTTTAACAATTAAAATAGGCTTTAGTTCTAGCACACGACTTGTCACGCACCACAGTTCAGCAAAGCACCTACTTCTTCTCAAGATGATTGGTTCCACCCACCGTAGTTTTCCTCGGGTTGATCCTCATCACGAGCCTCCTGTGAACAGAGAAAAGCATTTAGCAGAAATGTAAGTATTGAGGTCAGAAGAAGGACCAGCTCGTTCATCTTCATAAAAATGGAAAGCATTTCAGGCTTGTGTAAGCCCGCAGTTGACGTGTCAAAAAAAGAAAAGAAAAGGAAGGCATCAAAGGAGCATAAAAATAAGACCCGGATACTCTACACAATTAGTGGTGCTGAAACTAGAAGTTGAAAGGCTAAAAGATGGTACTTCCTCCGATCCATGTTACTTGTCGCTCAAACGGAATGTATCTGTGGAGGGAGTTGAAGAATTACAGCCAAGTGTGTGGTGGTGATCAGTTTATCATATGTGAAAACTGTTAACAGCGAATAAGGCCCTACAAGCTTGCATATACAGTTACTAATGCAGACGTTTAGTTAGCCACAGAGAAACAGAGGACACGGTAAAGTGAAATGGGTTTAGTCCCTGAACATGAATGTAAGACAGCTACCTCCGGAGTGAACGTCAGACCGATTTTGATTTCTCCACGGTACTCTTCGTCTTTGACAACATTGTAAACAGTTGGTGGGATGCTTCCTTCAGTGTACACTCCATCCAATGGGATCCTGAAAGAATCAAATACTCAGAGTTGTAGTGGATGATGCAATCTGCGATCATTCAATTTTGCATCCCGCGATGCTGCGACATCAATCGAAATGCAAACTGCAAGTGTTTCAAAAACAGATTTCGCCAAACATTTGAGCCAGTTTTATGTAAGACCGCCAGCCCCACAACTAACTCAAAGGAACACTCTGGGTTGGCCACATCTTCAGGGATAGAAACTGACACAGGACCAAAATTGCTACTCCTAGCTCATTTCGACTTACGTTGCTTCACCAACGCTGTCGTCGTCCGTGCCACCATCACTGTCGAGGAGCTTGATGACGAGCTCGGTTGCATTCTCAGAGACGGTGAACACAAAGGTTTCGTTCCATTCAGGATCACTTCCCTTTCCTGCATGCATCGAGTGAAGTCAAGTTACATCTCATAAAGAAGTCAATAGCACACATGCACAGCAGCATTTAGATGCATGCTGCTGCTTTTAACATGTCTTGATGATTTCCAATTTTCCTCATGGAAGGATCCACGGTTGATTCGGCTTATCGCAAACGAGGTGGGAAAATAAGATGCGTTAACTACTTAATTAACGTGCTTTTAGCGCATTGGTTGCTGCCATTCTGAATCGATCTGCGTTCTTATTATGATCGTCTAGATTTTCCTGCTGTTCAAGTGTCCAGACATTACTGACATGGCAAAACACATGACAGACTCAAGCTTCAAGCCTGGTAGCTTTCTAGCAGCACGTGGAACCTAGGACTCATTCAGTACCAGTGCTCGTTTTTTTCTTTGTGAAGGACCACAAGGACCAGATTTCACTATCATTAAGATATCGTTTTGAACGCTACTAGTGAACGAAAGCGTTGATCGATAAATTGAAGAGATATATAAGGTTTCCTATATACTGTGAGCAAAATATTTGCAAGCTAACGAAGAAATTTACCTGAGGCGACGGTGCTCTTCTGCTCCTGCGATGTGCATTTTAGAACCGCGTACGGGTCCATGTTGCCTGCAGCAAACAATTCGCAGCCACGGAACTCGTCAGCGAGAATCGATCCCGCCAATTAGACACCAGCAAAGGCGAAAGCACAAACAACTCGAGAATATTGCGCCGATCTGGCTGATCGGGAGGCCATCACTTCACCGAGCTACTTGATCGAGCGGGGAACGGGAAAGCAGAGCCGAATTCAAGCAGAACAGAACTCGATGTGGGGAGGGAGAGGCCGAAGGTAGCTTACAGAGGTAGTCGGTGTTCTCGAGTCCCTTGGCTCCGACGAGCAGCACCTCCAGCGTCCCCTGCGCCATCTTCTCTCCGGGCCTGATCTGACTGATCTCGCCTTCCTCTCCCGCTCGCTCGATCAGGAATTATATGCTGATGGGTAGGCAGCACGACTGAAGGTCGAGACTGATTGCTGTAGATCCGATCCGAGCCCCGGGGCGCCGCTGTATGTATAGGACTAGGAGTTGAAAAATGGAAGGCTCGGCCGCGTCTTCCTCGCACCTCCCCCACGTCGCGTCACATGGACGCGGTGTGTGGTAGGGCATAGGCGACTTGCCAACTTGCCGAAGGCAGGTCAAGTACCGCGCGGCGCGCCAATGGGGGGTGGGGTGGGGGCGGTGGGTTCTTCCGCCGGTTTCGCGCGTGTCTGCCCGTAGTCCGGCCGTGCCGATTGGATGATTGAGGAGCGAGAGGACGGGTTTGACGCGCCCAGTCTGTCACCGTTCGTGTGATCGTGCAGGTGCAGTGTAGTAGTTGCATCGTCCATGGACGGTGGCCGTCCGGGGCCACAACTGCATTTTTTTAGAGGCCACGAACGCTATATATCGCCCGTTGCAATCCCTAGCGTAGCGTTTCCTCACTAGGGACCGTGGACGGGCCGGCCCATTATAAATTGAGCGAGAAAACTGCCAGGACCGATTTTACAAGGTTCCTAAGAGTTTTTTCGAACCTTGTCGAAGGTTCCCGATTCGTTTTCTTACTGGTTTGCCGGTTTATTTTTTTCTTCTCTTTTTTGTTTCTATAATTCACAAATTTCAAGAAATATCCAGAAAATGTTCAAGATTTCCTAATTATTTGCATTTCCAAAAAAAGTTTGGAATTTTCTAAAATGATTATGTTTTCAAATTTTGTGCGTGTTTTCACAAAAATGCTTACTAATACAAAAATATTCAATCATTTCAAAGAATAATTGAGATTTCACAATTTGTTCGCATTTAAAAAAAATGTGTTCCTCAAAAAATGTTTGAAAAATAAAAAAACTGTTCCATTTATAAAACGAATGTCCAAAAATTCAAAAATAGTTCACAATTTTAAGAAATGTTCACAAATTTTAAAAACAATTCGCGATTTTGAAAATTGTTAGAGGTTTCATACAATTTTTTCCGATTTTCAAAAAATGTTCGTGGACATTTCTTGTATTTCTCGTGAACATTTTTTAAAATTCATGAACTTTTTTTTCCTGAAATTGTGAACTTTATAAAAATTCATAATAGTTTCAAAGTTTCATGAATATTTTTTGAATTCGTGAACATATATTGAATTTGTGAACATATTTTGCATTCACAAACAATTTTTAAATAACCATAAATACTTTCCTGAATTTACGAAAAAATTATTTGGGAGTTTTCTTCAAATTATAAATTAATCTGATCGAAAAAATGAAATGGGAAAGAACAAAACAAAAAATAGGCGTGCACTCGCTCGCTGGACCAGACCCATCTTGCTTGAGAGATGCAAGGTAGCGCTCGCTATGAGCGATAGACATCAGCTCCCGCCTAGGGCTCTTGTAGGAGGAGACAGGACAAGAAACATGTGTTGTTTAGTTCAGACCAGTACTACTTATTCACACTACATAGGCTAGATTTTGAATCCTCTAGACTGTGTTGGGCCTCGCTTATATTCTTTGGTTCGAATCCTACAAAAGACCTTGAAAGTAGGATAGGTATGCATGCGTAAACGGAAGAATGGAAAAACATAAAATTTGTAAGTCTTGCATCAAGATTAACAGTGGCTCTATTTTATATGCATTTTTAAACTCATTTATTGAATACTACTCCATATATCATGTCCCATTGAACAAAGTACATGTCCATTATGCATGCTTTCTGTTTTTTACCCTTTTCGTTGTGAGCATTACATAGTTTGTAGTTTTTATTAGTTATCTTTGGTTTGTTGTGTCTAGGTGCTTTCGAGTAACCATGGACCAAACACGATGAAAAGGCCAGGGTTGGGACCAATACGAGAGATTTCCAGGCACCAAACCCAAGCATTTTGGAGTGCTAATTATGACATTTTAAGTGATCAAATTAAAAATCCAACACCATAGGTGCATTGGCGTCATTCATACGAATCCAACGAGCCCAAGAACGTCAAAATCAAAGTTCATATGAAGAAATGATGACCATTTTACTAAAGGTGTCCAGAGCAAAAGACAACGCTCGATACGACCGGGCATGGTCGTACCACCCCCGACAAGCTCTGAAATCGCCCAGATCAGACGCGATTCTTCGTGGATTTTATCTCAATTTGTTCTGACAACTTCCTTGGCCACCATGGGAGGTGTTGGGATTTGATTTGGCTCATTTAGAGCCCTTGGATCATAGTGGAGAAGCTACCTCAACGGAGGAGACCCAAGGAGGCCTCCTATATACACCTCAACCGTAGCGGTCGTCCATCACCCATACGCGATATACCGATATCCATCACCATCTCCATCTCCATATCCATTGCTAATCCATCACCACCTCCATAGAAGAAGAAGGGCCAAGACAAGAAGAAAGAAGGGGAGGCTTCGCCACCCCCGACAAGCTCTGAAATCGCCCAGATCAGACGCGATTCTTCGTGGATTTTATCTCAGTTTGTTCTGACGACTTCCTTGGCCACCATGGGAGGTATTGGGATTTGATTTGTCTCATCTAGAGCCCTTGTATCAAAGTGGAGAAGCTACATCAACATAGGAGGCCCAAGGAGGCCTCCTATATACACCTCAACCCTAGAGGTCATCCATCATCCATACACGATATGCTGATATCCATCACCATCTCCATCTCCATATCCATTGCTAATCCATGACCACCTCCATAGAAGAAGAAGGGCCAAGACAAGAAGAAAGAAGAGGCTCTGCCACCATGCTGCATCAGTCCTTCGTGCTGATGCGATCTTCACCAAGGATGCCTTATATGTCTCCTATGTATCTATAATTTTTTATTGTTCAATGCTATTATATTATCACTTTTGTATTATTTATATGCCATTTTATATTATTTTTGGACTAACCTATTAATTTAGTGTTCTGTGCTAGTTCTGTTTTTTGCTTGTTTTTTGTTTTCCTGGAAACACATACCTATAGAAGTTTTTTACGATTCTTTCTGGACAATAATAGACCCTGGAAGCTTCGGGGAAGTATGAGAAGACCCACGAGGGCCCAACAAACTAGGGGGTGAAGGAAATATGCCCTAGAGGCAATAATAAAGTTATTATTTATTTCCTTATATCATGATAAATGTTTATTATTCATGCTAGAATTGTATTAACCAGAAACATGATACATGTGTGAATACATAGACAAACAGAGTGTCACTAGTATGCCTCTACTTGACTAGCTCGTTGATCAAAGATGGTTATGTTTTCTAGCCATAGACAAAGAGTTGTCATTTGATTAACGGGATCACATCATTAGGAGAATCATGTGATTGACTTGACCCATTCCATTAGCTTAGCACTTGATCGTTTAGTATGTTGCTATTGCTTTCTTCATGACTTATACATGTTCCTGTGACTATGAGATTATGCAACTCCCGTTTACAGGAGGAACATTTTGTGTGCTACCAAACGTCACAATGTAACTGGGTGATTATAAAGGTGCTCTACAGGTGTCTCCAAAGGTACTTGTTGGGTTGGCGTATTTCAAGATTAGGATTTGTCACTCCAATTGTCGGAGAGGTATCTCTGGGCCGACTCGGTAATACACATCACTTAAGCCTTGCAAGCATTGCAACTAATGAGTTAGTTGTAGGATGATGTGTTATGGAACGAGTAAAGATACTTGCCGGTAGCGAGATTGAACTAGGTATTGAGATACCGACGATCGAATCTCGGGCAAGTAACATACCGATGACAAAGGGAACAACGTATGTTGTTATGCGGTTTGACCGACAAAGATCTTCGTAGAATACGTAGGAGCCAATATGAGCATCCAGGTTCCGCTATTGGTTATTGACCAGAGACGTGTCTCGGTCATGTCTACATAGTTCTCGAACCCGTAGGGTCTGCACGCTTAAAGTTTGATGACGGTTATATTATGAGTTTATGTGTTTTGATGTGCCGAAGGTAGTTCGGAGTCCCGGATGTGATCACGGACATGACAAGAAGTCTCGAAATGGTCGAGACGTAAAGATCGATATATTGGACGACTATATTTGGATACCAGAATGGTTCTGGGTGAGATCAGGATAATACCGGAGCACCGGGAGGTTATCGGAACCCCCCGGGAGGTATATGGGCCTTAATGGGCTTTAGTGGAAAGGAGCAAGGGAAGGGGCACCCCCCAAGCCCAGTTCGAATTGGGAGGGGGGCCGCCCCCTCTTTCCTTTCCTCCCTCCTTCCTCTTCCTTCCCTCTCCCTCTCTAAATAGGAAAAGGAGGAGTCCTACTCCCGGTGGGAGTAGGACCCCCCCTTGGGCGCGCCTCCTCCCCTTGGCCGGCCCTCCCCCCTTTATATATGGAGGAGAGGGGCACCCCATAGAGACAACAATTGATCTCTTGGATCTTTTAGCCGTGTGTGGTGCCCCTCTCCACCATAGTCCACCTTGATAATATCGTAGCGGTGCTTAGGCAAAGCCCTGCGATGGTAGAACATCAACATCGTCATCACGCCATCGTGCTGACGGAACTCTCCCTCAAAGCTTGGCTGAATCGGAGTTCGAGGGACGTCATCGAGTTGAACGTGTGCAGAACTCAGAGGTGCCGTGCGTTCGGTACTTGATCGGTCGGATCGTGAAGACGTACGACTACATCAACACGTTGTGCTAACGCTTCAGCTTTCGGTCTACGAGGGTACGTGGACACACTCTCCCCTCTCGTTGCTATGCATCACCATGATCTTGCGTGTGCGTAGGAATTTTTTTGAAATTACTATGTTCCCCAACAGGGGGCGTGCCCCCCTGACTTGTGGGCCCCTCGTAGCTCAGTTTTCCCTAATTCTTGGCCTATAAATTTCCAAATATTCAGAAGCCCTCAAAGGGACGCCCGAAAGAATTTATCACTACCATAAGTATCTGTTCCGAAGAGATCCCATCTGGAGCCCT